AATATCCATCACTGAAAATACTCTCGGAATTATGCTGCCTTTCCTGAGGGAAGTTTTTGAGTTCCGAAAGTCTCAGTCAGTGAAATGCAAAATCCTAACTTTGAGATAAAAAAAATACTGTTTTCATCAGCCTTGCAATTAACATGTCGCATATTGAGTTGACTCCTGACCAGGAGACGGGACTGGAAGAATATTCACCAGTTGAGCAAGTACCAATGAAGTACAGTCATACTGTACACAAACTTGTTCAATCAAAAAAAAACTGGAGAAAAGTTCATCACAGCTGTCATGCCTACATTATTTTCAAGAATTCTGAAATTATTTTGTCGAATATTATGAATTATCCAGCGTCTCAAGAAGTTTTCAATTCGAACAATAAAGATTATAGTGTACTCACTGACACCAAGAAATTATTGGTATCAAAAACAACTGGAGAAACGTGGTTGATGCCTTACGAAAAATTAACAAAAAGAATGGAGAAATCAGCGCCATCGATCATCAATCGGAAAGCTTCTGAATGAAGCTCAGTCTGTTTTCATCTGAAAAATAAACCATAAATTCTGTGAACTCAATGGGAATATTATAATCATGATGGGAATTATTTATGAACTTGATAGTTTATCGCAGACCTTCTTCCCACCCTCGTTGTCATGAGAATTCTCCTTCTCTTCATCCTCTTGGTATCTCTTCTGACTGGACACTTCTTCCACCTCTGGTCCGAGCTTTCTTGGTGGATAGATTGCCGATTTTAATTGTTTCAGAGACAATTTTGGACGGTAATTGTCCACAACGACATTTTTCATCCCATCAACTCTCAGAAAAAAAGATCCTGGTTTCGACTTCTCAATTTTGCCATTAAATATGACAAAGGAGCCCTTCTCCAATGGAGTAACAGGTTTGTAACCATCAATTTGAATACACAGAGGATACGATCCATCAGCGAGATTACCGTGTGCAAGTGGAATGCCAGAGGTCGTTTTGAATACAATAAACTCAGTTTTCAAGTAACCTGACACAGCTGGAATGAAAAAAAAACGAAGGTATTTGATTTCATTTATAAAAAATGGGAAAAAATTCCACGAATCATTTTTAAAGAAATAAAATATGTTGAAATATGAATCATCGGGTCAGAAATCTACTTACTAATTGGTTTGTCTTTGAATGACAAACAATCAGCTATCGAGACTGGTTCCCAAGTAAGCTGCTGTCCTGGACTCGCGGTAGCGATATCGAAGTGGCCCAAAATCTTGACAGTCGAGAATGCTTGGACGTGAAGTTCCATAGGAGCAATGACTCCTTTCAATTCACGGTCAAATTGGAATTTAACTTCTCCCACTGTACAGCCTGTAATCTCAACTATCTGGAGAAGAGGAGAAAAAGAGAAAGTAGTTTGTAAATGACACGTTCAATGCTCTCAGTCGACTGAACACTAATGAATTATTGTTATTTTTCTTAAAATTTTTCCCCACTGAGGTTTTACCTGACACATCTGCAACTTCTTGCTATAGTCAACTGCCAGGTCTCGCCAGAAAGTTACACGAACTTTCATGCCCGTGATGTTACTCACGATAATCTTGTACACCCACTTCTGAAAAGTCTTAACTGGTATGAGCCCCTCCATAGAATGGATATATCCCACGATGTCACTGTAATTTATTGGTTTTTCTTCATTGTCATGTAATTAAATTAAAATTGTACTAAAATGTAGTTAATTTAAAAAAGAAAAGGATTGAAAGTTGACAAAATATAATTACCCGATGAGTCGAGCCACGAGCCAACCCTCTGAGGTTATGTCTTCATGGCATTCCTAATAAATGTACTGATTTCCCTTGAAAAAATACAATCAATACTCACATCATAGTATTGCCTGCTTTATACTGCTCGTCATCACGTCATCATCAACACCACGGAATCAAACGGCGCGCGGAGCGCGCGTTCGGTCTCGTATTTGAAATAGCCAATGAGAAATGGGTTACGGGTGAAAAGTCTTACGCATGAAGTTAGCCAATCTTACTCTCGCCCAACTTAATTTTGGTGTATCACCTTTTATAGATAGGATAAATTTAAAAATATGTATCCATTGATTGAAAAAAAAGTGTAGATCATTTATTAATGACACAATTTCTTGAGACGAGATTATAACGTTTGGATTTTCATATATTGGTAATAGAATTACTATACACTCATGAGTATTTTATGAAACGGCCGTCATACATGGAAAAATATGTCTATAAACATAGGCCAACAAAATTCAATTAAGCACTACGGACATTGGTGACTATCTCCCCTTGCAATCAATTATGCCCGGATAATTTCCTAATCGATCCCTTATTCCGATAGAGTGGAAACAGTATTCGGTTTATTGATGAGGTAATAAATCAATCATTCATCTGATGTCAGCGTATTTATCCATTTTGTTATACATATTACTAAGTGGCGTACAAATAGTAGCAAAAGATTTTAGAACCAAAGTCACTGCAAATAAATTACCACTGAATGTCAGATACGCTGTAATAATGTCTTATACTGATAAATATTATAATAGTAACTAGCTGTCGAGATTGTTACAATTAAATAGTTGCGCTCTTTACATTTTCATTTTTGCTCTCTTTAAGTGCTAGGGAATTTTTCGTTTTTTTAAGTTTCACGTATTGGATAGGGGAAAAGTGGCGGTCGCGGGTGTCACTCCACGTATTTTCCCGTAGTCCATATACATTTCGTATATCTCTCTAGAAATATCCCGATAAGCAGCTCCCTCTCTGAACACAAATAGAATTAATCATGGGGGCTTAATTTAGTAGCCACCGATGACTATGAGGATGATGATCGAAATCAAAGGAACTGCATTCGTTTAAGATAATTTTGAGAAAAAAAAATCGACCATTTTACGCACTCTAGCCCTAAAATTTTCATGCTGTAGATCAGAGGTGGGCAATCTCAGGTAGGCTTGTAGCTGCAGCCATAAAATTATTGAGGCTCCAAGTATAGGAGACTTAATGTTCTTACAAGGGTTGCCAGATATTCGTGTGGTGAGGGTAGTATCGGGAGATGGCGCATGCGCGGGATTGAAATGCGAGGGCAAAATGTTTCGAGTTTTTTGCATTTTCGGAATTTTCGGACATTTTCTTATTGATAAAACAAATAGAAAACATATCATCATTCAGATTCAACATTCTTCGATAGAATTTACCAATAACCCTAAATTTCGACGGGAATAATAGAATACCCCCAATTGGCGCCCACAAGTGCACCAGACTGGTGACTGATATCAGAGTAATTTCCTGTAAAATGACCAATCGATAAAAATCAATGTCTCCGATTTCGTCCTCGATTTTATGTCTACGCTGTGTATGATGAGATACTCTAACTAAACAATAATTTCCAGCCGGGAAAAAAAATGTTCACCCAGTTATACTTTTTTGAAGATTTTATCATTTACTTACTGATGAAAAACCAGTTCTCATTTCCGGAAAACTTCACTTGAGGGCGATTAATATCATAATTTCATTACAAACAGCTGATGATTTACTGGAAATCAATCAATATGAGCCCCCAAAAGTTGAGTTTATGTAAAATTCTTCGCATTGTTTCGGTTTTTTCATACTAGGAAGTGAAATTTTCCATAGAACCGTTTTTGTAGAACGGAATGAGTTCTATCAAAACCATTTCATGAAATTTTTTCATATCTGAGTTGGATATTAATCCATTCTTTTTTTCTGTCAGAACTTATTAAAGTTCTCATGGAAAAAAGAAAATTGGCGACGGTTATTCCATTTCAATTGAGCGAAGTGGTGATTCAAGTCGCTAATGAACGCAAATTTCTTAATAAAATGGAGAAACATTAAATTTAAATATATAATCAATGAAAGTTGATATAAATTCATGAAATCAACTATCTGCATTGGTCACCTCAAAAAATTCTGCGTTCAATATCTCCAATGATTAACAGACACTCATAATTTTCTGAGAGAAGTTTGTGCATTTTAATTTGGCATCGACAGCGAAAAATATAAAAATAAAAAGTGTGAAAATGCATGTGAAGTCAGATCTCCTCACACCATGATAATATTTAATCATTGTTTTCTAAACAATATTTCCTCTTCAAAATAATAACAATGAAATGATAATTAGCAAAAAGTTTCCATCAAAGAAATTGAAAATTTTCCTATTTTACTTTTCCCACCACCAATTTTTTGCCGAATATTCCCGCTACTATTGCTTATACACAGGAAATCTTATACGCTTATACGCGGCCATAAACTTTATGGCAGGGCCCGGGAACCTACAGGTAGTCGGGAGCCAGCCTATCACAAGGGTTGGGATAATCCTCTAATCCTAATAGGTGCCCAATTAACCAACCATTGTGTACGAATAAGTCCCAGTGATGACGCTATTTCCGTCAGCCATGTAGAGTGGCGTGCCAGTTCAACAAAAATAGCTGACTCGTCAGAATTGGCGCGAAATTTCAATTTTTAATTTTTAATATAAAATTGAAAACGTCAAATTTACATAGGAAACCCTTGGAGAATATATTTACAGAATGGTAGTCGGCAATTATTATTCTCCTTTCAAATACGGAAATTCTAAATTTGAAAAGCGAAAAGTTGCCGCTGTTGACTTAGGAATATATTCCTGGAAATCCCATTGCAGATTTTCATATTACACTTTGAATTTGGCCAATCTTGCAACGTCCAAATGAAAAATGAATTGTTTTATTCATAACATGAGAAAATAAATTTTCTTCTGAAATTCCCCGAATATTGTTCATCCCTCCAAAATCCGTTCTAATATAACATTTTATTCCAGTATATCAAAACCTGAATGTGTTGGATTCTGAATTTTTATTTGAAAAATGCAGGATATTTCAATTACTCTGGTAGCTAAATAAAATAGAAAATGAGTCATTCAATTTTGTTAATGACAATAAAGCAGTCCCTTTCAACAATTACTATTTATCTACGAATCAGATGCTACACATGACTGGATAAGGTTATTGCTCAATCAGAATTGTCAACAAATATTGTATTTTTTTTCTTGGATTCCGACAAACATCCTCTAAACATAAAATAATTGTCAAGGGTGACATCTCATGATGAAAGGATTAACAAAAATTTTCACCTAATATTGCTGTCTATTTCCAGTGGAAAATTGATATTTACAATTCAAATTTATGGAAGAGTTGAAAATTGCTGCTCGATCGCACAGTCGCTCTCTGCCGGTATCGGTCGAGCCAGGGCTCAAGGAGAGAGAAAAACGGAATTAGAGCAGGTAGTTTCTTTAAGTGCATGAGGCCCCTCCCCCAGCTCACACTAACGAAACTCGGGAGCCGCGTGAGACCGATGAGTCCAGGTTGCCGGGCCTTGCTTTATGGCTTAGAACAGTCTGGCCTAGTGGAGGTCTAGAGCTTGTGTAGTTCCGAGAGCAAAGGTGGGGCAAATCTTGCTCCCGACCTTTATTAGTGCGTAATAAAAAGTAGACAAGAGTCCATTATATCGGATGATGGGCCTATACGACCAGTCGGCCCTTGAGATTCAAACAAGTTAAATACACTGTAACGCGATTTTCGCGTTGATGGAAACTATTTACTGGGATAAATCACGCTCTCTGCCGCATCGATTGGGTCCGCTAATTCCCTACGCGTGGGGAGTTGAGGTTATAGTACTGAACCTCAGCTCCCAATGAGACTCCTCTGTCGGAACACTTGATTCTCCACTCCAGAGAACTGTTCCACGTTAGACGGGGCGGGCATTCAAATGGCCAGGGGTCCAGATAAGGGGTTAACTGGACAGCCTGGTTGGAGACATTTGAATTCGGCGCGCTCCAGGAAACGTTACGAGCAGGGACTATAGTAGAAGGTATACCTATACCTAGAGCTCTCGCTATGCTAGTGCATATTGGCAGCTATCGGCGTTCTACCGCTATCTAATTGCCGATCTGCTATCGATCACCCTACCAACCTTCCGACGCTATCGGGGACCGACCACACTAAAAGAACTGCGACCCTCTCCATAACCTAGCATACTGAGCGACCCAGTGCTCCCGCACGCGTTCTAACTTTACATCCGCCACTTTGGTATTTCGCGGGAAGTCTCCAGAGGTCCTCACTGCGCCCTGGGAAAGGGACAGTGACGATCTCTGGCCACGCACCTAATTTTAATTCATCGGTCTTTCCTAATTGTGTCCTTAATAACTAGGCGGAAACTTATTGGTCTTTCCTAATTGTGTCCTTAACAACTAGGCGGAACTTATTGTCTGTCCTGTCACGAGAACGGGCAAACCCCACTGTTCTGTGCTCTCGTCCG